AATCAGTTTCAGCTTGAGCTTAAATATAATATATAACTGCTCACTCAAAGGTTGGTATCAGCAGTGATATACATTTTTGATGTCTTAGAGATTTGTTGTTCTAGCTATATGTTCTAGCTATATGTCCCAACCTGTTTCACACTATATCCCAAATGTCTTATCTATCCCATCTATGTCCCATTAGCGTCTATTAGCGTCCCATTAGTCCCATAACAACATTGGGTATCAGTGTGTTTCTGTATCTTAAGGTATTAAGGGTTTGTTTGTAATATATTTTTCTTACGCTATTGGACTTTACAGCAATTGCAGTCTGAAAAGCTTCTAAGCTTTTGCTAGTATATAATAATACTCCTAAAACCTGTTGTGTCCACTTAAAGAAGTTAAGAAAGGGTTGCAAAATCTCTTTAGGTGGTGGATTACAAGTGATATAGGATAGGTCATCTGTTAAATTAAAATTGTCAGTAGATTTTCTAAAGTTACACTCTTGCCTATTATGTATAGCTGAATCATTCTGTTAGTATTTTATCAATTCTCTGAGGTTATTTATAGAATGTTTCTCATAGTATTATGTAAACAGGAAAAGAGAGTCCTGTAGTTGTCACCAAATGTTAATGTACAATCTTTTCAGATTACAACTGTTAGACATGGTGTTAGAGGGTTGACTCTTTTATAGTCTATGTAATAATCCCAGTTAGTTTTTGATAATCTTGGTTAGTTTGTTACTAATTTATTGTATTAAATCAAGTTTATCAAATGCAAGCGGCTTCAATCACAAGTGAAGAGTTATCACAGTAAGTTCGAAAAGAGTTTTAGATAAGAAATAAGAAATAATTTATTGAAATAAAAGAAAATAATAAGATAATGATATATAAGAGAAATAAGAAAAGAGAAATAAGAAACAGTGATATATGAGGTGAAGAGTAGCGTTGTGCTATCTTTTATAAGAGAAAGGTTCTATACAGCTGTTGGTCTTATTTTTCTAATTGACAAAAGAGATTGTATTTATATCTATTCTATTACATATTTTGATATATCTAATATATTAATTATATTAACTATATTTACTATATTAATTATGTTAGACATATCTGATATATTAGACATATTAGCTATATTAAACATGTTAGACATGTTAAATATATTTGACATTATTAACATTTGTACTTCACCACACAATTATAAATCTATGATCATCAAGATCAATATCCAGTCATACTATTCTTAGACAAGTTATAGCTATATAAGCATAATTAAAAGAAATTATTAACAAATTACCTTCTAGTGAAAGAGAATTTAAAACTTTAATAGGTAATGAGATTGATAATCAATGAAGAAAAGTTTATAATACAATTTTTTTCATCATCTGATTTTTGTATCCATATCATCATATTGAAGGAATTAATCTAACAAAATTAACGTCAGTAAGAATAATTGATAATATTAGCATATTTAATGATGATAATAATTTATAGTCCCCTATTTTACTTGAGATGTTTAATCCATAATTAATTGAAATAGCATTGACTAAAGGAGTTAATTTCATATTATAGATATAATTTTCAATAAAAAGATTCTCGTTTTATCAGAAAAAATGTTATCATATGATTATTTAAATTTGATCAATCAGAATTTTTAGTATTAATAAGAATATTGTCAGATATTACCTAATATCTTAAGGGGTAGAGAAGATAAAGCAGATCTTAGGTTATACATAATATAATAATCACGTAATGTTAATATTGAATACATGATGATTATTTGATAAAGTGACTTGTTAAGCATATATTTATTATGGACTGATATAGTAATATAATAATACGCATACATTTAAATTTATTGTAACACGCATACATTTAAACACATTTTTTATAAAACTTACTCATTCTTCATCTAAGTTATAAGCCCTTAATTCAAGTTCTATTTTATCATACGATCTCTTTTGTTAAAATAGAAGAAGAGAAAAATCATTGAAAGCTGAGTTTTGTTATCTTTTAGGCCATCTTCAGGTAGTAAGATGCATTAATTGTTTATAGTTCATTAAGAATATGAGAGTCAAAAAATATATCTGATAAATAGGATAGCAAAATTATAAGTATATATTTTTTTCAATAGATACATAATGTGCATCATAACCTGGTACTTCAGAAGATCTTTATACTAAAAAAGATAAATCAGGTTTATGAATCGGCTATTTTTGGCTTTGGTAATTAGTAATAAGAAGCCATTATACAGGTGAAGAAAGTTTATAGTTTTTTTAGCTTTAGGTGGTCTACAGCAATTGGCATTTGTGTATCATTTGATATCAAGAGAATAGATAAACAAATTATAATGAGTTTCGATCTAAGACTATAAAACAAAACATTCAGAATGGATATATGTTGTTTCTTTTTCTATATCATTTGATTTTTTTTATTCTTTTTTTCTTCTATTTAATTCTTCAACCTTTTCTCTTTCTGTTCCTTCAAATTATATGTGCTTAAATAGATTTGTGAGTACATCAATATAACAAGAATCGATTTTCTTTCTGAAAATCAAATCACAATATTAAATTTTATAAAGGCTTTTCTGAATGGCAAAAATTTCAAGCAGCTAATTCTAAATCAATAACTTTTTCTTGTATATTCAAATGCATACTGAAATGGTCAATTGGCAAGGTAATTCTAGCGAGCTTACCAGATAATGTTGCTATGCTTCTTTCAACCAGATTATACTTTGATTGACCTAGAGTATATGTTCTTATACTTAAAAAATCTAAATCGAACTTCCTGAAAAGCTAATAATAGGATTTTATATTTTTTAAATATTTAGAATTCTCATCTAGCCCTCCGTTCACTAATAAATCCATATTGATCAAATTGTTCCATTCGTCTTCAACACATCATCATAATGAGAATTCAAAGTAAGGCTTTTCAGTTCTTGCATATACATAAACGAAGATATGCTAAGAGACCATTGAGAATATATAAAAATCGCTAATTTTCCTGTTCGCAATTCGTCATTAGATTCGTTTGGATTTATAATTAAATATACTGATGGGATTAATTTTTGTCTGAATCTCATAGGAAAATTATGGTCTGCTACAGTCATAGGTTTGTTAACTGATTGTAATGTGCAGAATGTGCGACCTACTACAGGTACTCTAAGTCTGATCTTCGCCTTGTCATCTTAGAAGATGACAACCAAAACATCAGCAAAAGTGCTAGCAAATTGCTTTGCATATTTTACTAATGCAAAGCAATAATAGCTATCAGAATGTTCACATATCTCAGTGTGCGAAATTTTAGTGACTGTGATCCATTCTGAATGATGGTATACTTTCGTGACAATTGAATTTAATTAATAGGGTAAAAGGTAACTTTTCAATATAGTCTTTACTATATAAATTTTATACCTTTCTTCAAGATTTTCACACAGATATTCTATTGTCCGAACTTTGATGGCCTCCTTCTATCATTTTGTATCAGCTGATCTAAATTTTATGCAATTGTGTATACGTTCATGTAAATCTGGATATTTGAAGAGAAATAGTGTCTTTTCAGGTTTATCATAGCAGATAACCTCTTTATTTTCGATAAGTTGTCTTAATTTTTTTCTTTACAATTTTGGGCATATATGGCATTTCTTTTTAACTTGGTAATTCTATTTTTATTAGATTTAATTTCATCCTACAAGTTTTCTATTTTTTGGTACATATCATCACAAATCTGAGCATCACTGGCAATATTGTAAATCTGCTCATATTCGCAAATTTTTTTTCAGCTATTTGACATCTGCTGCCTTTCTTTAGACTGAAGCATTAGCAGGAATTTCTGGTAGAGAGTTTACTGAACGAGTAATGAAAGAAAAGGAAGAAGGATTCATTTTTTCTGTAGGCACAGAACGTCTATATCTCATTGATTGTATGTCATATAGATTAAGTGATGGCCATATAATTCTGAATTACTTCATCAATATCATCAATACTCTTTTTCTTAATGTTATTCCACTCATTTATGGCTTCTTGACAAATAATAGCACAATCAGAAGTATGGTTACTTGTTTTTACCATAACACTATACACATAGGCATTTGTAAACTCCTGATATTTATTAGATGGTAAATCATATATTGGCTTTTTATTAAATTTAGGGCTAAGAAAAAACGTTTGGCAACTCATTTTTTAATATTTGGGGCAAAATATCAATATGTTTATAAAAAGAATTTTTTGAGTGTAAAATACTAAATGCAAAATAAACACGTCAAAGTTTTGCGAATTTTAAATAAAACTATAACTAATTTTTGGAAAAGATCATCACAAACATTGTAGGAATTTTTTTTCAAATTTAAGTATTAGATTTAGACTATAATCAATTTTTTTTAAACTATATCAAAAAAATTTTTTTTTTTGATCACTTTGATTACTTTATTTTATCGGATATCAGGGACACATAATTTTCGAAAGCAATTTTGTCTGAAATTTTTGGAGGGCAATTGCTATATCATTGTACCTTTGATAAACTTTAATTTCAGCCAGATTTATTAATTGTCAAATGAAATCTTTAACTCAGATCGAAAGAAATTTTATGGATCCCTATTAGATATATAAAATCATATCACGTGATTCCGCAGCATATCTTACCTGGGGTAGATGCTTATATTAACGTAATATCTGACTTAATAAGTAATTATTAATTTAAAAAAAAACCAAAATATTTTTAAGTCCCATCACTAGTGTCATTTACCTGAATAATTTGTCGATCTGACAATTATTTTTTTCAATCCACAAATGTGATTTTCCTGTGTACGTCATTTCTGTGTCAGAAGCGATCTCTGGTATATATTATAATTAAAGAATCACATGTAACCAATCAAAATTCTTTTTTGTCAGAAAAATAACGAAAGTGCAATTAATTAAGTGAAATTATTAAAATTTAAGATTCATATGACATACTGCGTGTATTATACAATGTACATGTTCTCTTATTGTAAATTAATCTAATCTATTTTTTTTTTAAGTATTATTATTTAGATTTTTTCTGTGGTGACGCATAAACTGTAGAATCGTTTGTGTGTCGAGTGCCGCCACGTTTAAAACTCTTTTTGGATTTATATAAGGATTCCACGTGCTGTCGTAGTTTCATAACGCGATGCTGGATAATATAATAAGTGAGTGTTAAAATCAATGTAAACAATAATGGCAGTCAAGTCAGATGAATAAGGTTCGTTACCTTAAACATAATCATTACATGAATCATATCGGGTAGATTTCCTAAATGTAAAGGAGTATCGGGAATTGTGAATCCACTAAATTGATCAACGAGATATATTCCATCGACTAAATGCATAGAATACATAAAAAGTTCCTTCTCTATACAAGTGGGTATGGCTTCGGATTAATAAATGTTACAAAGAAAAATTAATAAGTTAGATTACTCCTTACTATAAACTAGCAATCCGAAAGTTTCTAAATCCTCAAGACCTGGATCTTTTTCAGGAAGTAATTTCCGAAGATTAAAAAGGGCCAACTGCATGGCTATAAACCAAATAGTTTTGTTAGTTGTTTTCACAAGGATAAACTTAACATTTACTTTCAATTTACCTTTAAGTATTTTCTCTCGATCTTCATACAATTTCGTGTCATCGTGTTTGAATGCATTTCCAACAACTTCTCCAAATGCTACTTGAACATCCTTATCTCCAACTTTCATGATTAATATAGCATCGTGATACCAACTACCAACATTTGATCTACGATCATCCGGATTCCTCGCGAGACCTAGTTGGTTTCTCCGGTCAACATTCTCAACCTCACCTCTAGTTGGAAGCAAGATGTATATGAATACATAAACTTTTTTGGACAGGACAAAAAAAAAGCAAAAAATGAAGTGGCTTACGTTTTCATTCGGATTACACAATTTACATCAAAGAAAACATCCTCCCAAAAATGATTTATAAGCCGACTCCTATATGCATACTCACTTGCATCGGCATCATTGAGAGGGTTGATAGGGGTCTGGAAACACGTTAAGCTATAAATTACAGGTATATAATTAATATTATTAATTATATAAGTGAATAATTTATAGAATTTAATTATGGTGTCCTTACAAAGCAGTGTATAATTGTTGGGCCCATCGAAGAGGCCAGTCTCTTACAAATAAATATGAATGTTGATCTGCAAACGGGCTTTGACTGATGGTAGTCTCGACTTTATTTAGATCGACATAATATCCAGTGCTGGCATCCTTAATGGACTCGCTATACTTTTTCAAAAGTGATTGCATATTTTCCTCAAACAAAGGAAGAGAACTTGCTATCTTTTCTTCCATCTAGAAACTAATTGTCAGTAAAAAAGTGAAATTAATCAAGAAATAAATAAAATGTAACCAACCTTTTCCCAGTCTAATTCCATTTTCATCCACTCCTGACTGGTATACAGGCGCTTAATTGGATCATGGATATTGCACTCTGGTAAGAATACTTTTAGTAAGTTTTTCGATGATCAAGTTCTCCTATGATGCAAAAAAAATTCTGTTAAGTGATGGATAATGATGGGCAGTAATGAATTGTAAAAAGACGAAGATGTCATACCTCGACTAATGATAGTTCCTGAAAATAGGAATCCTCCTTTTGTACAACATCAGTCATTATTGGACTAAAGAGATCCAAAGCATCGGAACCACCTAATGTAGATGAATTTGAATCGGAAGTATTTTGTGGGGGGAGAGCGTCAGCTATCGAAAAATCTATTTCTTCCCCGTTTAAAGCAGTAGTGGTAGTAGGCGTAGTATTGGTAAAAATGACGGCCACTTTCTCCGTATCATTTTCATGTTCTTTAGATGGACCAGAAAAAAGGTCATCTTTCTGGATATCATGATCTACTTTCTGAACTTTTGGACACGGTTCTTCTGACATCATGTATGAAGCAAATACACGATCGCGCTTTCCAGATATTGCGGTAGAACAAAGTATTCCGGATGTCTCAGAAACGTGTCTAGCCAGTGAGATTTTAGGCTGAAATATGAGCTTAGAGGAAGAAATCTCCTCGAGGCTCTTGAGCGCATTTTGTATCGCTGTGCAGTCATTTTCCGCCTGTTAGATAAAGAGATAAAGTGAGAAGGTTCTCATAATTATCGAATGATTCAATACTTACGAAATGATGTGTTAAGGTTTCGGCAGTAAATTTTCGAATAGCTTGAGGAACTGAATTGTCGCGTGATAACTTTGATATACTCGCTTGCCAAATCTTCTCTGCAAATATAGGCTTCGCTTCATCGTCGTCGGTGTCAATCAAGAATGAAATGAATTTGGAGAAATTCCATTCCGATGCCTCGGTTGTTTTAAAAAATTTGTGATACGCAGAAGTACTCTCAGAAACTTTAGACTTTCTATTTTTTAGTAGGATTGGAATATTGCTACTAGACATGTTTGTTGTGTTACTGGTCATCAAGGAAAGCACATCAGGGACTTAACATTCTTAACATTTTAACTGTTAAACAGTCACGCGTATTTGTCACCGACGCGTTTGTCACCGACGCGTGATCTTCCTGATGATAACAGGGCCCCTGAATACTGTTTCGTACACTTTGGGAATAATTCTCCTAAGTAACATAAGTGTAACCATGTACACTTTGGCCATTTTAATACTAGTAAACTTAGTAGATATCACATCAATTATCACGACGAGGTTCCAATCGGGGCCCTATGATAACCTATAATCTTGAATACTCAACAATTGTTAACAAATCCAAATCTCAGCTCCACCAAGTTGGGCCATTTTCTAGCAATTCGTTATGACCAGTGGCAACTTGGTTGAGAGGGAGCGATCTCATCCTCCCAGAGTTCACCCACAAAAAATTGGACAGACTTTTGATATGGCAAGATGCTTCTTGAAAGGTCGCGCGTAGTGAATCTCAACTTTATTGAGTTGGGCCATTTTCTAGCGATTTTGCTATGACCAGTGGCAAATCAATTGAGGGAGAGCGATTTTATTCTCTCAGAGTGTTCACTACCTTGGTAGGTCTGATAAATTGCAAAGGGTCAGTAGAGAATTTAAAAAATTTTTTAGTTCTTTGAAAATTAAATACTAATTATACTTTCTCATACTTTTTCAAAATCTTGAAAATTGCGAGAATTCAGCTCAGTCGAGTTGGGCCATTTTCTAGCAATTCTGCTATGACCAGTGGCAACTTGGCTGAGAGGGAGCGATGTAATCCTCCCAGAATTCTCGCAATATAGAAGAATTACACACATGTTAATCGTAGGTGAAATTTATTGTTTTTTATACATAAAAAAATTTAGCATGAGTAATGAAGTGAGTGAAACAAATGATGCTATCAAAGAGGGAGGGAGTACTCGGATCTTAGGCCATAAATGAGAGTCCCAGCATCAAGTTATTTCTTTACGAAAAGTATCTATAACTAATTTGTTTATACTTCTAATTACGTGATTTTCATCCCAAACTCTTTTACTATACTAAATTTCCGAAATAAATTATCTCACCCATATTTACAGAATTTTTGTCTATCTATATCTCTTCCAAACACGCAAACTATATAAAACATTATTCCTCGAGAGAGAACTTCTCTGAGATTAAGAAATTTCAAACCTATAGTATAATTACGGAAGTATTAGCAACTGAGGTAAAAAAAAAATAATACAATATCACGATTCATTTTCACATAATTCCATTCCGCCTCATACACGATATTTATTGCTTACTTTATCGCCGGTAAGATACTTCGCAAAGTTTTAAGAATTCGGCACGTGAAGATGCCATGTGTCGTTGCATGTGACGAGATTCATGTGAGTGCGCCTATTATACGCGTGATGATGGTCAGTGATCTTCTCGGCGAAGATCAAAATGCCGATGTATAACAAGAAGAGCAATATGTCCGTTTTATTTTGGAACATCTATAAAGGTGGGAAGATCGATTAACATCATGATGGTATATTTCAAGAAGTTAGCCAAGCAATAAACAACTTACTTTATTATTACTTTGCGGAAATACGAGTTCGTTTGATTGTTAATATCAATTATTCTAATAATGGTAAGTTTGAATGTTTGAATTTTTTTGTTTTACTTGCACAAAGCGGATAAAAGGATTCACTAACAGGGACATCACCTTTTTATATAATTTCCAGGATCGATTTTGGAATACGCTTTTGGGGAAAATTACGTTAATATAAACGCATCACAAAAATCTGATCAACTGCTTCTCCTTTAATTTAACAATAAAAAACTTTGATGCTATCCATATGTAAAGATCATCAAGGGCCCCTTTTTAATATTAATATACATAAGAATTTTGAGAACATGCGAGAAAGTTTGAGAATAAATTATTTTGCGCAATTTACAAATTCCGTGATGTGTGTGACGTGTTCTAATATTACTGCGCATTTATTTATCAAGTTCTAGATCAATGATCTCGCTACAATAAAAGAATATATTAGTATACACCCTCGCTTCACTTCCCACAATCCCATAACCACTTCATGCGAAAAAAAAATATAAATGTCCGGTAAATTTGCGTCTTTGCTTTATTGATCGTACGAGAAAAAATATAAAATATAACTCATAATAGATACAGCGCGCGAAATTTTTCACGAATTTTAATTACTGATTATTGCTCCTTTCTTCCTCTAACTTCTTGATAACCCACACTCTGATTAAACGCAAAACATCTTCATCAGGTTTATATGTATCACCGTTATAAAATCTCTTTAATGTTTTTCATCAATATTTTTTGTTCTCAAGAGATCATTCCCAATCTCATCAACCATGACCTTCCACGAAATTCTTTTATTTGTCTTACGAGCATCACAAAGTTGTACAACTTCTTCTCGAACATTTTCATGATTATCCAAATATCAGGTGGATCTATTAGTTCTTTTTCAAGTTAGAGCTATATTACGTTGTATTACCACTAGAATTCCAAATAATAAAAATACCTGAATTTGTTAATACCCAAAAAGCTTCATTTGTATCTTCACTATGCCCATTTTCTCTACCATCAGGGTCCTCAATAGGTTGTTCTAAAAAATTTGTGTTAGAATATATCATGTTGGAAAATCACATTACTAATGATAAGTAGACCTACCTTGATCCAGTGTTGTTTGATTAAAACTTCTTAACATGATCAAGAATTTTGAATCAACAATAATATGAGTAAATTTGCAGAAGGTTGATTTTCCTAGTAATCACTAACAAGTTTTATTGTTTTAAGTTTCTTTATGTCTTTATTCTTATTATCTTACAGGATGAGGCTTGAAAATTTGTCTGCATTGTCATTATGAATTTCTACTTCCCAAAGTTCCAAGTTATCAACCTCAGTATCGGAGAAGATATCTTTTTTTTCTTCTTTAATTAATTTCTTAAGATCATAAACAAATTTCGAATTTGTTAATTTTAATGGGAAATTCTTTGGTATTTTCTTTGATTTTTGAAAGAAATGGCAAGTTAGTGTTATGTCTGTTATGATTCTGTAAAGGTTACCCATTATTAATAAAGCTATATATTTATAATTCAATTTTAGTAATTATAATCACTTTACATATTATCTACATCCAACCTACTTTTGAAAAAGATTTTATCTATTCCTGATTTGTTCATACTTGTTTTTTTTAGATCCTGATCACTTTTATTAGGCTGATTTCTAGAAAGAAGTTAGATTATTGCAATCAATAAATTATAGTTTTATACCATTTAACATAAACAGTAATAGTCTAATAATCAATTTTGAAATAAGAGAAAAAGTATAAGATAAAGGGGAACTTGGAATTGTAATTATTCAGAATATGTATCACTAATTCCTATTCAAAAACTGATTAATGTGAGATTAGTCATATACATAGTTAATTGCACTAATAAAACTAGGATAATAAAGACTTACCGTTTATCTGAAGATCCATAAATTATATATTCTAATCACTCTATTTTCATTTTTAAATTTCTTTTTATCGACGCTCTGTCTTATGATTCACATGTAAATCAGTGATGTATTTTTTTATTAGTAATTCAGAACTGCATAATAAGTAAAATAGAACATACTAGAACTTTAGAAGAAGTTCATCAGTATAGCAACATAAAAATATTATTCTTGGTCAGAATTATTAATAGCTACTACTGCAGATGCCAGTGATGTACTACTATGCATAGAATATTCTGCAAATATAATTTATATGAACTAATGAGATAGTGACATCTTATTGCAGAATATTAAAAGAAAATATAGATGATGTTTGCATACTATCTAAGCCACCTACGTGATTTGAGAAAAAAGATAGAAACTATATGATAATTCTCTCAATATTACTTCTAGACAATCACCAGAGAGATGGTGGAATTCATTACTGACTGAAGTACAGGATCATTAAAATATATATCATCATTTTTGTAAATTTTTATGAGTATTTATCAAAATTGACATTATTTACTTAGGCTTAGTTAGTGTTTTTTTTTCTAACTTCGCTAATTGAACTATTTTTTCATGTATGAGCCTTTCATAAAGTTTGTAATTATACTTATTATCAGAGTTGGAATCATCAGATTTGAAATATATATCAGAATCAGATTTACTGGCATCAAAGTCATCAAATTTGAAATATATATTAAAATCAGATTTATTAGTGTTAGAGTCATTTAAGTTAGAATTATGAGATGAAATAATAGTCACAGTTAAGGAGATTTCATTCACATAACTAGCAATCATCTTTGAATTAACTTATTTTATAATATAATTGATTTGAGGATTAGTGAATCTTAAAATTTTATCAGCGTTACAGGTGACTCGTTAAACTATATATTCCAGTATACCTTTAATCTTTTTCAGAATTACAAAGTCATATTTACACTCCCTGGCCAAAAGTTTAGGACCACCTCAAAATTTGCGAAATAATCGACATTTAACCCTAGTTAATACATAATTAACTAAAATAAAATTAGAATTTTGTGTAAT